GATCATATATAGGAAATGCGAGCTCCTTATACATATTTATATTGATTCACATGTAGGGGTGTCAATGGACCAGTTTTGGATTGAACCCCATCCAAACCAAAATCAATTTGGACGGATTAGACAGACCAACAACACATAGTGAATTGGACCAGTCCGGACTTTGTAGCCCAACGTATTTACTGGATTGAGCCAAAATCTGGTTCATTGATAGAAGATAGAATATAAGTGCCAATGGACCAGGTTTGGGTTAGAATTACTCTAAATTAAAACAAAATTGAACAGATTGAATACATGGTCCAAACATTGAATTAGACTAATCCAAAATAGTCCAAAATATTCATTAGATTGGATTGGACCTGATCCATTTGTAGTGGACTTACACTAAACTGGATCCAATTGGACCAAATCCAGTCCAATTGACACCCGTAGTCACATGCACATGTAGAGAGTTGGCATGTTCTCCACTTGTTTCTTTTATACCTACACTAACTAATCAATGTCTGATAACTAGGTGCCCCGAACATATATTTAAAGCATTAGATTAATTGTTAAATTTAATTAGTAATTGATAAACAGTAAATTAATAATTAACTATGTATTAAAAAATAAACAGTAAAAACAATAAATTATATTAAATTTAACAATTGTGGTTGTTTTACAATAAATTTAATATAATAATTACTATTTAAAATACATTATTGTTGATTTATGATTTCTTCCATACACTTGGTGTTGCTTACACTTGCTCTTGGTCTTCTGTAACTTCTTTCTTTCTTACCTAATATTCTTATAGATATCAGACAGACCTTTTTCTGAGTTAGTTGAACGAATTTGTCTTCGGGCTTTAAAAAAAATAATGGAAGAAATCATAGTTTGGTAAGCTATTTAATGGTGACTATGACGTATAAAACAATCGAACCGTTGGAAGGGTCGTTCATCAATAAAGAAGCTTTGATTTCTCGGAAAAAAAAAATAAGAAACTTGAGAGAATGTACTATAGAGTGTGCAAGTTGTTCATGATTCATGCACTTCATAGATATCTATTATATATGTTGTGTTAGATTTCGTGAAGTAGTAGAGCAGAAGTTGTGTGGATATGCTGACAATAGCAACAGTGATGCTGGAAGCCAACCAAATAACTTATTGCAGACAGCAATCTATCTAGCTAGTCGGTGCTTGGTGGGATTCTGGGTGTAACATGAGATCTTGACCCAACACAGAACCCATTGCCATCCTTGTCAAGAAAAGAAAACACTAAAAATTTCTTATTGTCAAAATACCTCATTATTAATTAATTAATAATATATAGGTCTCAGGATTGTGAGGGGTCACTCCATTATTTAATTATTGTTCAGTTTAAAAAATAGGATAAATTGCAGATAAATATCTTGTATTTTGGGATTAGTATCATAGTACCTGAATTCCAGAAAATTGTTAGCTTCGTACAGTTCTTTTTTCAGCTTTATGTGGGGATTAGGGAAAGTTTATTTTCTGGGTACCACTTGCTCGGGAAAGTGATATCCATTTCCTAAATGAGTAAATAACTTTCCCACATAGGGAGGAAGTTGCCAACACTTAAATGGGACAAAAATACCTCTTTTAATAATGAATTTATATGACTAAAATGGTCATTGCCTTATTTACTAGGGAAACAAAAAGAACATGTGTAAATGTACTTATTCACGTAAGTGTTTACGAGGAAAAACTTACTCACGTAATTGCATTTACCCAGATAAGTGACTTATCGAAAAGTGAACGAGGCCTTATAGAAAGCAGTCTTACCAGTTATTTGTATTATATGATGGATGATATGTGCGACTTAATTTTCTGAAAAAAACAAAGTTATGCTTTTTGATATTTTTAAGATCATTTTATCCTTTTCTTCAAAATGTTAATAATTTGGGTTTTTTTTTCATATTTTCATTCAAATTTGGACGTCACAGTCTCATAGAGAAAACCAAGTAAGAAATTGGCCACTCACTCAAATAGAGGCAGGCGCGAGATTAAAATTGTTGTTGGGTCCTCCCCTCCATTAGAAGCATCATAAAGTTTGTGAATCCATTCAGAGGAGATGCCTCAACCTATATCTTAGCCATACCCATAATCCTCCCTCTCTCCAAGATTGAAGATCTTGCCCTTGCCATTCTGGTCTCTACTCTCTCGTCTCTACTATATTGGAAATGAAAGTTGTTGTAATTATAATGCTCAAGGATACAATCTCCATTTGGACTATCAAAAAATAATCTCCTTACTCTAATGTTGTAATTACAAAAATTAATATTTTTATTAATTTTAATAATAATTAACAATTATATAGGAATGACAATAGGGTGAGTTTAGGATAGGGCACCCTATCCCTGTCCCTACCCCATAATTATGGGCGGAGCCAAGGGTGGTGGAGGGGAGTCATGCCCCCCCCCTATATTTTAGCCCCCTTACCCATGTTTCCTAGCTTTTGCCCCCGTGTCCATGTTTTCTACGCTTTGACCCCCCTTAATAAAAAATCTTGGCTCCCTGCCCATAGTAAAGACACTCTACCCCATCCCTAGTGTCAAGCGGGTTCAGGGCAAGGCAACTATTCCTCGATATCGGGCGAGTTCAAGGTCAAGGCACCCCACTCCTCATCATGGATGGGGAATCCTCGAATTTCCCTGCCCTGTCCCTAGTATTGGGTGGGTTCAAGTAGAGGTGTAAATCGGGTCGTGCTTGCCTCCCCTAAGATAATTTAGGGGTCGGTTCGGTAAGGCCCACGACTCGAGCCTGCACGGGTTTGTGCCATGACATAGGCTGACCTTGTCCATGGGCCGATCCTTGGGCCAAGCCAGGTCGTGGACCAGACCAAGCTATGAGAGGTCCATTTAAAAAAAATGAAGAAGATGTTTAAATTTTTATTTCATATGACTTTTTATGTATACAATTGTTTATATATACAATTAGACCTATTCATCGGCCGAGTAGTCCAATGGCCCAGCTCAGCCTGACCCGTTAGTTTTTGGGCTTGGACAAAACTTCATGCATGTGGGCTCGAGCTCGGGCTTTCTCAAATAAGCTTGGCCTGATACTATTACATATATAAAAAAGTACTTATTTTATATATATATATATATATTAAATATCAATTTTCTATTAGAAAATCTAAATTAGTTGAGCTTTGAGCTTTATATAAGGGCTAGGCTCGGGTTGGGCCGGGCTTGCACATTTTTTGTTGATAAAGAGGCCCGTGTTAATTATAAAACTATGATTTTTTATAAATTAAAATTTTTATTTTACAAATTAAAATTAAAATTTCTTATTTTTAGTTAATTCTTGGTATTTTTCATTATTATTCAGTAATTTTTTCAATAAAATATTGTTAATAAAATGGGTTATGCATTTTAAATTTTCATTAATTTTTATCATTTTTAATGAGTTCATTATGCACAATAAAGGTCTCAACTCATAAGTTATCTAATAATATTATTAAAACTATGAATTAATATTTTTATATTTAAACTTCTTATTTTTATTAGCATTTATTAAGTTTGATTTTTAAGTGGAATTAAAATACATTTTTAATATTTACTAAGTTTTTATAATATTTATTTTTAGTGAAAGTTTAGTGGATTTTTAAATTAATAATTTTTTGATTGTTTCACCTCTACCTATTTACATTATTTGATTTATATTACTTCTCTCTCTCTCTCTCTCTCTCTTTTAAATGTAATAATAACATGCATTAAAATAAGAGGCATTGTAAAACCCCAAAGTCTCTCTCTAATAGTGTGCAATTTTATTAATCTAATTAAGATAAACAATGATTACTATTTTATATTTAAAAAAAAATAAGAAAAAATGCAAAAAATGGAGAAATAGATAAATAACTTCTCTCAAAGGAGAAACATGTTGATGCTTTCATCACGGATGCAAAAGCCAGCAAACAATGATTACTATTTTATATTTACTATGGTTTTTAAAATCGATTCAGAGATCGAATCGGTCAGGGGTCTCGTTATCGGGACTAACGGTCAGTCCATTTTGACAAAAATAAAAAATAAAAAAAATAAAAAATAATTAAAATCGTTCGAACAATTAACTACCCATGTCAATGGTTTACTGACCAAAACCAATGGTTTTTGGAGAAAAATCAGTTTTGAAGAAAAATAGACCTAACTTATTCCCGGTTTTTCCAATCCGATCATCCGATCCGGTCCAGTTTGTGGTTACTTTCCTTTCCTCTTAAGAGCCTCTGGTTTTTCACTGGAATATGTGTAGGACTGGCCAATGTTGCAATATCTTGTTTAATGAATCTCCACTATTAGGTTTTTCTTTTTGGGTGGGTCTCAGATGAATTAAATGGTATTTTTTTCTTGGTGTTTTAGTGAATAGCTCCTCATTAAGGAGGTTGTGAGCTCTGTAATACCTGAAGCTAAAGTTGGGTCAAGTACCATAACCTCAAATATTTCATTATTTATTCATTTGGTTCAGGCATTTAAGCTGTTATCAACCAACCCCTTAGTTTAGAACGTAACTCTTTGTTTTTCAGTTTTTCTTTTACCTTTTTACTTCAAATCCAATTTCATTTTGAAGCATGGCATTGCCAATGACAATGAGAGCAGTTTCTGAACCTTCCACCTCCTTGATCTAAGCCAGCATTTACAGTATCTTCAAATAAATAAATAAATAAGTAAAACTGGTTTTCCCTCGTTTTTCTTTTAAGGCTCAGTTTGAAAGGAGTACAAACACAAATATGTAGAGTGCAAATACATATAAAATACAAGAATTTATACTCTACATATTTATATTTATACTCCTTCCAAACTGAGCCTATAAAACTAACAATTCCTATGGAAGTCTGGTTTTCACCAACTATTTCTTCTTCTTCTTCTTCTTATAAAATTTTTCTTATAATGTTTTCAGCGTCATTTCTATTACATGTCTATCATGGATTTTTAAATAAAGAGTTTAATTCTGTATTGCTGCTAATGCTATGTTGGGTTCTGTTGTTTTGCTCTTCTGCAGAGATGATTAATGACGAAGAGTTGGGATTCCTTACCAATTTTATTGGCATTTTTGTATTTGTTCTGGTAATTGCTTACCATTATATAATGGCCGATCCCAAATATGAAGGCATCTGAATACTTTTGTCTGTTGACCTTGAACCAATGCATATCAGTTTTGTTGACAGTAACTACTTTATAAGTGGATATAGATCTGATGCAGTTCTGTATGAGGTTTCTTCACCCTGCTCCATTGCATACTCTGTTAAGATTGATCTTTTGTTGCACTAATATCAGTTTGTGTTTACCTTTTTGTGCTTCATGTTGATCCGGGGCTTAGTTTGGAAAGAGTACAAATGCAAATATGTACTGCATAAATACATACAAAATAATACAAAATATAAGGTTTTGTACACTACATATTTGCATTTATACTCCTTCCAAACTCAGTCTTAATGTTGAAGATTTTGGGTCCTTCAAGCTTTGGTGTTGACATGCGCAACTTCCGGTTTCCATAATTTTGTTCTTAGCTCAGGTTTCATAGGGGGTGTTTTACAGTTGATCGATGCAAATTTGTGAAAATATGCGTTGCCACATCATATATGAGTGTCATGTCAATCAGAAAAATGATGTGGGAAAAACATCAAGTTCTACATTTTAAGTAGGGATGCAAATGGATCAGATCAGATTCAAATCCGATCTGAAGATTCGATCCGTAAGCCGAATCTTTGGATCTGATTCTATCCAATTATTTTTCTAAAAACAAAAAATACAAGTATTTTTTAATTATTTTCATCATATATACATGTTTTTATAAAAAAATAAATAATATAACAAATTTATAAAAATATAATTATAAATAAAAAATAACATATATATGTATTATATATATATATTTATATTTATAAATATATAATATACATAGGATTGGATGTTCTCGGGTCGGATAGGGGTTATCCGAATCCGATCCAATTTCTAATCAGATCATATTATCTGATTCAATCCGAAACCAAATAAGATGATCCGATCCATTTGCACCCTAATTTTAGGTAGAAAGTAGAAACGATAATTTGTATCGATTAACTCAAAATGTTTTCAAAACATGTTGCAATAGTAAAATCTTGGGTTAGCCTAAGAATGGCCAATTTGTTCAAGAACATGGTATGTGCCTGCAAGTGCCATGCTGGGACTAATCAAATTTGCAAAGTTCAATTCCCAGTCTTTAATATCTCTTGGTTATTTCCTCCAAGTTTTTCTCCTGCCATACCAGGTCAACATTTTCAGGTTTCCTTGAAAAAAGAAAGGAAAATTCCCAATTAGTATCATGCAATTTGGGCCTAGTGTCATTTTAGTCCCCAAACTTTAAAATAAAACAATTAAGTACTCGAACTTTCAAAACGTGTCAATCTAGTATCTGTCGTTAATCATCTGTTAAGTGGCATTTGAAAAGACACAAATGCCCTTTGAGTATCATCTAATTCTCTTTATCAACCATCCAAACATTGACAAAAAATGAACAATCCCAAATCCTTGCCTCTTCTATTCAAGAAAGTTGGGGTCATGTCTCAATGGGAATTCTGGTCACCCCAACTTTCTTGAATAGAAGATGCAAGGATTTAGGACTGTTCATTTTTTCTCAACATTTGAATGATTGATAAAGAGAATTAGATGGCACTTAAAGGGCATTTGTGTCTTTTCAAATTCCACTTAATGGCTAGTTAATGGGTTGGTTAACAGCAGGTACTGGATTGGCATGTTTTGAAAGTTTGGGTATTGAATTGTTGCATTTTAAAGTTTGGGGACCAAAGTGACACTAGGCCTAAAGTACAAGGTACTAATCGGAAATTTTCCCCAAAAAAAAAGATTATAAATAAGAAGAATATATTATAAGTGCCTCCAACTCCCTGTCCAAAACCATTGGATTTGACTCGTTTAATCTCACTTTGAAATTAGGGCTGCAAACCGAGGTTTTTAAAATTAGGCTGGACAGGGAATTGTTCTGGGGACCAGTTCCCAGGATGAATGGTCTAATCATCTGGTTCAAATGAAAGGCCCATTCTGACTTAAAAAATAAAAAAAAGGCTAAAAACCATTGTCTGTATTGACAGTTTAATTGCCTGAATCAACGATTCATTGACCAAATCAATGGTTTTTTTTACCAAAAAGCAGTTTTGGTATGAAATGAAACCGGTCACTTTTTCTCGAGTTTCCGGTCCAACTGTCCAATTTGGTTTTGAAAAACATGCTGCAAAGAGTATCCATTTATAATTGGATTGAATATAGATCCACTCATCCACCCCAAATCTAACCTATACATTCCAATCTATGTATAGAAATGCTGTACGTTTAGACACAAAATCTAGTCTAATACCATTTTCTTCATGATAATACAATAATAAAGTTATTTTTAATTGATTATATAATATTCTGATCGTTTTTAGTTAATTTAATAAAGTATTCAAAATCCAAATCCCAAATATGAATCTATGAACTATACATATATGCAACATGCTGGCTTCTTTTGACTCAAGTCCAGTCGACTGCTTTTAAGACCTTGCGTGATAGTGTAGAGATAAATAGGTGGTTTAAGTAAGAATCCGTTTGGTTCGAAGGCAGAATCCAAATCAAAACCCCTTGAAATCAAAGTCAGAATGGCCATACTCTCAAATTGGGGAATGTCGTTCCACCAAAAATGTGAATTGAATTTCAATTCCTTCGAATTAAACAATTGGAATCAAATCAAAATGGCCCATTTTTTGCCACTGTTTGGCATCGTTGCCATTTTCTAAAGCAATGGTGCACATCAGTGCTATATAGGAAAAAATGGTGCTCCAGGAAACAACCATCTGTTTAGAACCATTTTTCCATAGAAAACGGTGCTCCAAGCCACGCCTTGAAAATTGGGAAGGCATGGCTTGGAGTAACGCCAAATTTGGCGTTTTCTAGAACTGCAGCTCATTGCTACCAACTGGACAATGATGTGGCACTGAATAATGGGTAGAAGTGTAGAAAACGTTTCCTGAAGCATTAGTACCAAACAAAAAAAGTTGTTGTTCCAGGAAACATTCTACCTGACAACAACGATTCCAAACAAAAAAATGCACCATTTTCTGAGAAAACGGTGCTGCAACTGCAACAATGATGCCAAACATATACTTAGTCTAATTTCAGATCTCTATTCTCACGAATTAAAGGGACTCTTAAGCTATATTTGGTTTGAATGAAAAAGTAGGAAAACCTTTACAAGCCTTATATAAGTTTTCCTATTTTTCCCTTCCTTCAAATCAAACATAACCTAAATGTAAGATGTAAACATTAGGAGTACAAACGGGAGACTTGGACTATCAATTATCAACTATACCCAGGTATTTGAGTATTTCTAACTTCACCGAGAACCTAGGGAGCAAAGCCTTCAGCCCATTTATAGCCTTCAACCTGAATGCAGATCCGTGTCTACGGAGCTGACATGGCGTATCATGTCTGGCCTAATATAACCTGAACTGTAGGCATGGCGTATCATGTCTGGCCTAATATAACCAGAACTGTAGACGATTATTCCACAGTTCTGCATTCAAGGTTCATTTGTTAAGTATAAATATGATGAACAACAGCTGTTTTTAATTGTTCTCCCCTTTATAATCATAGGAGGGCATTTAAATATTTCTTTGATAATATACAACTAGCGGAGGGGCCCTGCTTCGCAGGGGCTGGAATGGAATCATCGATCCGTTGATCCGGTATCTATTAAAAAATTGTTAAATTGGTCAACAATTTATTGATTCAAATGATTAAATTATTGATCCGTTAATTCATAAAATGGTTTTTAGCCGTTTTTTATTTTTTTAATTGGAAATCATTTATGCAACCGTTTCCATTTTATCCTAATCTTGGTCCCTGGCAAAAAATCATTGAATCGGTCAACAATCCATTGACCCAGGCGGTCAAACCATTGACCCGTTCAATGGTTTTTGGTCATTTTTTTTATTTTTTTAATTTTTGTTGTCAAAACGGGCCATTCATTCGAACCGAACAATAGAACCGTTGGCCCAAAAACCGATGGCCAGAACGATTCCATTTTCAGGTCGTATGAGTCACACGCTCGAATGACATAACACGTATGGTACTGCTTAATGGACCTCACACACTCAATTTTTTTCCTATAATTTTTGTTGTTAGAACGGGTCATCTGATTCCATTTTCAGGTCGTATGAGTCACACGCTCGAATGACATAACACGTATGGTACTGCTTAATGGACCTCACACACTCAATTTTTTTCCTGTAATTTTTGTTGTCAGAACGGGTCATCCAATTTTTTATTTTTTTAATTGGGAACCGTCCAAGCAACTAGTTCCATTTTCCCGGTCCTTGGCCAAAAACCATTGAATCGGTCAACGACCCATTGACCCGAGTGGTCGAACTGTCAACCCGTTGACTTGTTCAATGGTCTTTGGACTTATTTTTTTATTTTTTTAATTTTTGTTGTCAAAATGGGCCGTTTGTTCGAACCAGACAGTCGAACCGTCGACTCGAAAACCGGTGGTCAGAACGGTTCCATTTTCGGGTCGTAAAGTCATATACTTGAATGACATAACATCGTGGTTTTTAAACTGACCCGGAGACCAAACCAGTCAAGGGTTCGATTACCGGGTTGAACGGTCCAACCGTTCAAACCGAAAGGTCGATTCGTTCTTACAAAAAAAAATAAAAAACGGTCAAAACCATTTGAATGGTTCAATATCTAGTTATTAAGAATATTTATAATAACTATTATATATTTATATAATCAAATAATTATATATATCTAATTATCTAAAATGGAACCCGAGCGGTTGAACCATCGACCCGTTGACTCGTGAAATGGTTTTTGGCTGTTTTTATTTTTTTAATTGGGAACTATCCAGGCAACCAGTTCCGTTTTATCATAATCTCGATCCCTGGCAAAAAATCGTTGAATCGGTCAACGACCCATTGACCTGGGCGGTCGAACCATTGACCTGTTCAATGGTTTTTGGTCGTTTTTTATTTTATTAATTTTTGTTGTCAGAACAGGCCATCTGTTTGAATTGAACAGTCGAACCGTCCACCCAAAAACCAATGGCCAGAACAATTCTGTTTTCAGGTCATATGAGTTACACGCTCAAATGGCATAACACGTA